AAAAAGATATGTAGCAGTCAGTGATATTAACAATTGTAAAGAAGCTTACGACAATGGACATTGTGTAATTATGTTGTATAAACAACAAATTGAACTAAATATAGTTAACAATTTTCATAGAATTTTGCACAGCAAAAAAACATGTGGTAGTTGTACATGTATGTAAAAAAAATGAATTAAAGGTAAAAACTTATCATATATAAAAAACAAAATTAGTGTGGAACAGAACTAAAAGATCCAAGAATGCACTTCCAACAGTAAATCAATAATTAAGATTTCATTTTAACTTTAGGTAGCATTATTCTAATGAATAATTAAAAATTTACTAAATTTTCAAAATAAATTTAATATTTTTACGAATTATTCTGAGGCCTTTTTCATTCTTAGTCGAAATAGTGGAAGTAGTTGCCTTTATTCTTTTTTTTTTTCTTTTAATAATTATCTCAGTGTGTGGACCGCTTTCCATTCTACAGGATTTCTTCCGTTTGTTTGTTTCCGCAAGCCTTAAAATTTTACTAAATTAAAGGACTCAAGTATCAAGGTAATTAAGAGAAATTAAAAAATGTTTTTGACGGCAAATATATCCGAGAATAAGGCTTCTCGAGAAAAAAATATGGCGACGATTTTTTCATGTTGTAATTTCATCTCGTAGAGTATTTAAAGACAAATTACCTGCTGCCGAAAACGGTTTAATTAAAGCGCCGTTTTTCGTCTAATTTTTGGGAAAGTGATTTAAATCGGTGTTTTGTTTATATCTCTGTGAAGTATAAAAGGTTCGGTGCCCAAACCCACTGCAAACGGCGTTTTGCTTCTGTTTATTTTTCCCGTTTTTCTTTGGACGTTTTGAATTTTTTCTACAATGGCAACGGTTGCCAGTTTTTCATTAAGCTTTAAACGTAAATGGGAAAATAAACAAATTTCGTTTAATATTAATAACAGAAATGTTTTGACATAAAAACGCTTTTTAATATGTGAATTCTTTTTAATAACCAAATGTGAACAAACAAACTTTTTACCGTAATGGCTACGGATTAAAATAGATAATATAACTTTTAAAGTTTAATGTTATATTCAATGTGGGCTCCGAATATTTTAATTTGATTGTACATTTCAGTGATATATTGAAATAAGCTGTACCTAAGTGTACAAACGTAATATCCAGTTAAATTAGCATTAAAGTCAGCAAATTGCAATTATTTGTTATTGTTGTCAATAAACAAATCCAGTTTAACTAGCAAAATATCCGCTTTTAGTAAAGACCGATATACCTGTTTTAGCAGGTGTACTGGGTCGGACTTACTTTCCACTTAACGTTAATCGAAATGAAGTCAAACATGGACTCACACAACAGTTATACAATACAAGACCATCAAATTCAAATAAACGCATCACAGTCATACTTTTTAGCAACTTCGAGAGTGCAATTTACTTTAAAGTCCCAAGCAATTATCTTTAGTGCCTTAGAAAACACCAAACTTCAAGAATACCTTCTCCCACTTGGAAATATAATTCAACCGAAAAATATAACCTTCTCTTCTGGATTATCTAATAATCGCATATGTATGTATTTATCCAATAAATAAATAGTGAATGATTTTATGAATATTCATGGTCAAATAGAAATACAAGGTAAAATTTTCAGAGCAAGGAGGTTAGTTACACCAGCGGAACTACTTGTGCTCTCCGGTGTATGTCCTTTAATAACGCACGACTTGCTAATCAATGAGTTACAAAAAATTGGCATAGTTCCTGTATCCCCCATGACATTTCTTAAAATTAGTACTTCTATGCCTGAGTAAAGCCACATTCTTAGATTTCGAAGACAAATCTATATCAGTCCTAACAGACTAACATTACCAGAGTCATTTACTCTTGTTTTGACAACACGATACATAGAATATTCATTTCTCAATACAGTTTAGTTTGCTTTAGATGCAAGAAGCCACGTCACATTGCTTTACAGTACTCTGAGCCACTAACTCGAGGCTACTGAAAAGAATACATTCCTGGTTGGACCCATAACAGCGAAGAACTATATCAAAATTTCCTTGAAAGCAGTGATCAAGAATCAGCTGATGAACAGCTCTATAGTCTAGATGCATCGAGACAACAAAAATGGACGGAAACTGTAGAAACTCATAAATTTCAAACATCAAGTAGGTAAGCATAGACACTACTAAGAAAATTAGGAAGCGGAACAGCTCTACATCTGGTATCGACATCTAGGGCCCCGATAGACAAGCCACACATAATCAAGGTAAAACGAGAGCTTAAAAATTTTAAATTCCAATCCGAAGAAAACAAATACTACGACCTTTTTATAAGGGTCGTAGTATTATTATATTAATACCTACGACGATACAGTCTGGAGAGAAGGCATGATATAAAGCTTCTTCGTACAAACGATTTAAGTAGTAATAAAAACCCACATCAGCACCACAAGGAAACTGAAGAACTGCCTCAGGGATATATGTCCTAGCTCCTCTTCCCTTTAGTCTATATATCTCTGATATACCAGAAACCAGTTTAAGGAAGTTTGGTTACGTTGATGACTGGCTCCTTGCAACAAGGTGTAAGTCATTTGAACGATTAGAAGAAATCCTCATGGCAAACTTACATACAGTGGGAAAGTATTTTTATAAATGTAGGCCTCAATCAAACGCTACCAAAATAGAGGTTATCAGTTTTCACCTAAATAATAAGCTTTTGCTAACAAGCAGCAAGTGAAAATTCGAAAACACCACACTCTCTAACAATAAAACACCAAAGTACCTTGGGTTGACTCTTGATAGAACCCTATTTTTTAAAGAACAAGTGTTAAAAACAGCGGAAAAACTTAAATCCAGAAACAACATCATCCAGAAGCTATGAAGCACACCATGGGCACCATCAGGTTCCACCTTGCGATTATTTGCCCTGGGCCTTGTCTTCTCAACCGTGAAGTACTTCTCTTTAGCCGGGCTTATTAGCCCGCACAACTACGGCCCATACACTCCCTCACTAGTAGTATAGAAAGATACTTTAGTAACGAGATCCTGCCAATACATTAAGATATAGATGCTTCCAACGGTAACCATCTACGCTCCAGACGACCGCCAATAAAAATAGCACAGACTGCTGTGGAAAATGAGTTTAACTTAATGACCACTTGAACTCGAGAATGTATGGAACAATAAAATAGCAGCTTACCCTGCATCATCGAAAAACCACCAGATTTTGATTTATCACGCAACACATGGACTATGCTGAACTGAATCAGAACCTAACACGGCAGATGAGGTTACATGATACACAAATGAAGGACCCTTAAGCTAGCACTGACAAATGAGCTGAATCCAATTTAACCCACGTAATATTTTTTCACCCATTTATCACTAATTTATTACCACCCTAATAATTTTTCACCACCAAACCAACCTTAAGGGGAGCGACCTTTTCTTAGTAGTGTCCATGCTTGCCTACTTGATGTTTGAAATTTAGGAGTTTCTACAGTTTTCTTTAGTTTTTGTTGTCTCGCTGCATCTAGACTATGGAGCTGTTTATCGGCTGATTCTTGATCTCTGCTTTCAAGTAAATTTTGGTATAGTTCTTTGCCGTTATGGGACAAACCAGGAATGTATTCTTTTCAGTAGCCTCGTGGTACACGACTTTTGGCCGTGCTCATTACGACTCTAACGAATCTTTTGTAATTTGTGATGGTAGGGGGTATCCAGCTTAGAGTTTTGTCCAGATCCGCAGAAAAGATACCCCACATGGTTTTTTTAGATTCCACCATGGGCTACGAGTAAATGTGATTACAGAAATCTTGGTTCTTGTCTCTAAGATCACTGGGCGGTGTTGGCTGTGTGGGAAGTCGTCCATTACTTTTCAAAAGACTGCTAGGGCTTGCCCGTTTTTATTAGTAGAGACAAAACATAGATCAGGATTGTACTCCTTCTTCCATGCTGCTAACATGAATGTAGATCGATCTTTAGCATCAAACTTAAGTGATATATGTTCGTTCTCTGTCCATTTTACTAGTGCATCCGCATTGCTGTTGCATTGTTTCTATTTCCTCTGCTCGTAGTAAATGTTGTAGTTCGTCACGTATATTGACGGGTGCGTGTGTGGATAACTTGAGCTGGCCAGGATATAGCTGGTGGTTTGTAAGGGTTAGTAACGGTAAAGCTTCTAATTTTTACAACAGCATTATGAATTTCATCATTAGTACACGTGAAAACAATAACGGCGTTTTCTATGTTTTATTTAATGTACCTTTCTGGGCCGTATGATTGATGGTACGTAGCACTCAGTAGTTCGACGCCAAGAGATTTTCCCCTTTTTCGCAGTTGTTCCTTCGTTTCGCAGTGTGTTTCCTGTAGAGCGACCAGGTCGATGTAGTTATCTTTTAGAAATGTTCCTATCTAAAAGATAAGAAAATACGACTTGCTAGATAAGCCAGCGCTTATCTAGCGCGAAAATCAGACCTCGAAGAATTGACATCAATAGGAAGCCCAATACTTACAGAACATCTAGCAATATTTTAACAAAACACACTCTTCAGATACGTTCTTTTCACAGCCCTTCGAAACTTAAGAAAATCAAATAGTGAGAATTTTTTCAAAATATTTTACTTGTCGCTTAAGTAAACTCCCTTATTTCTACTATTTAAGACACCCTTCAATTTAAAAAATGTAGATAATATCATATTTTTCATCATATTGAATTCAGATTAGTCTTTCAAAGTTTAGTTATTTATTCTAAAAATACAACCACTCTAAATGACTCTCACCTTTCAGTCAGCGTGTTAAAGCTCGCATAAAAAATATATTACACTGAAAACTATCCCGAGGTTCATAAAAAACCTGTAAATTTTTTATGTAGTTTACCACCGCATTTTTAAAATATAAATTTGAAATTTTAAACTTATGAAATGTTTCAGAAAGTTTTTAACGCCAGTAAATAAATATTTTAAACTTTATAAATATTCTAAGCTTTACAATAAAGATTGAATAACTTACCTAGCTTGTTTTAGAAGTGATGATCTGTGCTGAAACAAAAATAAAATTTTAGTTACAGTTATCTTTACTAAATTCTCCTGCATTTCGAAATTTAGCAGGAATAAGATATCGTTGCTCACAAAATGACAGTTCCTTCTTCAAATATTTGCTTGATTGGATTGGTTGGAAACTGACGTGACTATTCAAATATCTGTACATAAATATGATTTCTGAATATATGAATTTATTTAAATGACGCAATATATTATTCTTTTTTGAAAAATATGTAATCGCTGATATACAATTCTCTTTGTCGCTCTCTAGTATACGTATAAGATAGAAATAAATGGGACACTAAATAGAGAGTATAGGAAGAACCATACTTAATATTAAAATATTGTTTATTTTTACGCCTTTCATAACATTTTCAAGTACTTTTTTAAATAAGATCTGTAAAGGCAAATGCAAAAATTCTCATCCCTGTCTGACAAGCCATTTGATGTTTATAGTGTTGGACGTTTTGACTTCCACTTTAACTTGGTCCTTTTGGTATTAGAAATCCCACCTATACCAATTGTTACTTACATGTCAACTGTCATCATTTACCACAAATTACTTCAGTCATTAATAACCCTTTCTCCAGATAAATACGCCTTTGCAATTATGTAAGTAGACCCGCCAAACTCTCTAGTTTAAAACAAGCATTCATCAAAAACGGTAACCGAGAAAATCACATCAATAGGAGCTTCTACAGATATCAGTCTTCCACTCCAAACTTAACCCAAAGACTCAGATCCTCAGAATTTATGCAATTCCTTTTGCATACTGTCTTAGATCTTATATGGGCCAAATAAATCGTATAATGCAAAATAGGATTTATAATTATTCCATTTTTGTTCGCAATTTAGATTCAATTTTAGCTCTTCACCATCTTCATACAAGTCACAAAATTGATTTGGAAAACTCTCTTCATCCGCTTCTATAAACCAATATTTATCTGAGAAGCAATAGAAATATATACCATTCCACATGTGCATGGTATTCGGTATACTCCGGCCGTTGCTAATGGATCACGTTTGTCTTTCACCGATCTTAAACAATCCTTGATTTTCCTTGTGGGCTTAAAAATAGTCTTTACTTTGGCTTTCTTAAGTATTTGCCCAATTCTGTCTGTTACTCTGATATATAGTGCAAGAACGCTTTGCTTTTGCATTCTGTTTTTTCGTCTTTTCTTCTAGAGACGTGTTCATCGCCTTGTGTATTTCTCTTCTAGTATAACGATTAGAGGTGAGTGCTTTTTTAATATAAAGAAGTTCACTTTGGAGATGTTGTGGTTCACAAATTCTTTGCGCCCTCTCCGCCAGAGTTATGATGATGCCCTGTTTTTGGCTAACTAATACATCCAGGAACGTTAGTTGTTGATCTTTTTCTGTTTCCATCGTAAATTTAATATTTCGATGTAGTGTATTTATATAAGCCAGGAAATCGTTAAGTTTTTCTACTCCGTGACCCCAAATCACAAAAGTGTCATCAACGTATCTAAACCATACTCTTGGCTTGTATGCTGAGTCCATTACTCTCTTCTCTAACTGCTCCATGAAAAGGTTGGCTACGACCGGGCTTAGTAGGCTTCCCATTGCTACTCTATACATCTTTTCATAAATCTGGTCTTCCCATGAAAAGTAGGTGGTAGTGAGGCAAATACGGTATATTTCCACCATATCCTTGGAAACTACTCCCTCAATTAAATTTAGAACGTCTTCTACGGGGACTCTTGTAAATAGGGAAACCACATCAAAGCTAACGAGAATGTCAGATTCCTGCAAGGTAATTCCTTTGATCTTCTCAATGATATCGCAGAGTCTTCTACAGAGGCATCGTCTTTTCCTATATGTGGTTGTAAAATATCGGCCAGATGTTTAGCAAGGCTGTAAGACGGAGATCCTATGGAGCTCACAATAGGGCGTGGAGGTACATCGTCTTTGTGTATTTTCAGCAAGCCATACAAGCGTGGTGGGACTGCTTCGATGTTGCATATTCATGGCTTTATATACTCTGGTATGGACGAAGATTTTATAAGTTTATTGATTTTTCGTAGGGTGACTGCTGTGGGATATCTTTTAAGTTTCTTATATACCGCAGCATCTAGAAGATTTTGTATTTTCGTTTTGTAGTCGGTTGTGTTCATTACGACGGTGGCGTTTCCCTTGTCTGCTGTTAAAATTACAACATCTTTGTCTGCATTTAACGATTTTATGGCACGTATTTCTTGGTGGCCAGGTTATTTTTCGGTGTCTTAGCTTTGTGCAGATTTCCAGCTGATTCTGTCCTTATTTCTTCAATCATTTTGATTGGCAAATTGCGAATCGCAGACTCTATATTAGCGACAATATCTTCGTTGACCTTGACCACTGTTCTTTCTGTGTGTTGTTTTAATTTTACCTCCTTATGTTTGGTTAAGCGTTCGTATTTGTTTTTCTGGCGTTCAGTATTTCTTCCTAGTTTATTTTCCATTTTCCTATAACAAATCGATTTAATTTTGTTCCAATCCACATATTTCAACTGGCTGCTCAAAACGTAAAACAAATCTAGAAGCTCCTTGTCAACCTTCACCAAATTTCGTCTGGTGTCATGTATGCGTTCTCGTAATAGTATTTTTTCCATGCGTATATATATATACACGCAATATATACAACTTATATTCGCAACAGCGAAGCAATCCCGCCACGCTTGTATGGCTTGCCGAAAAAAAAAAGACGATGTACCTCTACGCCTTACTGTAAGCTCCATAGGATCTCCGTCTTACAGCCTTGCTAAACATCTGGCCGATATTTAACAACCACATATAGGAAAAGACAATGCCTTTGTAAAAGACTCTGCCCATATCATTGAGAAGATCAAAGGAATAACTTTGCAGGAATCTGACATACTCGTTAGCTTTGATGTGGTTTACCTATTTACAAGAGTCCCAGTAGAAGATGTTCTAAAATTAATTGAGGGACTAGTTTCCAAGGATATGGTGGAATTATACCGTATTTGCCTCCTTACCACCTACTTTTCATGGGAAGACCAGATTTATGAAAAGATGGATGGAGTAGCAATTGGAAGCCCGCTAAGCTCGGTCGTAGCTAACCTTTTCATGGAGCATTTAGAGAAGAGGCTAATGGATTCAGCATACAAGCCAAGAGTACGGTTTAGATACGTTGATGAAACTTTTGTGATTTGGGGTCACGGAGTAGAAAAACTTAACGATTTCCTGGCTTATATAAATACAGTTGTTTCTGGATGTATTAGTTAATCGAAAGGAAGGTTACTTAGGACATAAAGTGTATCGAAAACCTACACACACGGACAGATACCTAAACAGGAACTCAAACCATCATCCAAGCTAAAAACAGGGCATCATCAAAACTCTGGCGGAGAGGGCGAAAATAATTTGTGAGCCACAACATCTTCAAAGTGAACTTCTTTATATTGAAAAAGCGCTCACCTCTAATGGTTATACCAGAAGAGAAATACACAAGGCGATGAACAACGTCTCTAGAAAAAAGGACGAAGAAACAGAATATATATATATATATATATATATATATATATATATATATATATATATATATATAGGTTTATTTCAAAAAGGACATCTCTCCAACAGCCAATGAGAATGCTGTATTGTAATCACATGACTGAGAAATCAACAATGTAAATAACAACGATATAATCGTTTTATTTGTGTTTATCACTATAGTCTGTTTTCTAACCAGGAGGAGTAATTCAAATTTTACGCTTGTTTGTAGTAATGTAAACCGTAATGCTTGTTTGTAATTGGTCTAACCGCAGGCAAGTGTACTCCACTAAATTATGACATATTAACACTAATGACACTTGAGGAATTTTAAAATTTAAAATTTATATCTACGATTTTTTGTATTTTTGCGTTATTCATTACATTTTTAGATTTTTCGTTTGCAGTTGTATAAAAAACAGGTCTTTTCAGAACTATTTAGCGACATATTGGTATTATTAAAATAATAATATGGATGCCAATGCCAAGTACTAGTTGTAATTATTCTTCTCCACCTTAAAAACGCCAAGTAGATTTGGGTCATTTATCATCAAATGAGAAACAATGTATTATAAACATGTACAAACAAATAATGAAAATTAATATTTCTGGAATGAAAGTAACAGCCACGGTAACAAAAATAAAACATGCAGCAGGTTAGTTTTGCAGAATAGTTATTGTTAAAATCAAGACTTACTAAAGTAAAGTACTAACTTTAGGTGTTGTGAATTTAACTAGTCACCGAACAATTAAAGAATATAAGCAGACTGGGACAGTAAGATGTCCTAAAAAATATTGAAAAATTCCCACTTTAAGTGAAATTAACAACCGCTCAGATCTTCCAAAATATGTGCCGTTCATTATTATATAAATTCTTAAAGCAAATCAATTTGAAGTAAGTAAATATGGGTTAGCCACAATTATATAGTAAAATTATCTAAAACATTTTATTGGTTTTATTTTTATAATCGAGTATATTATTTTTACTACTAAATAGTTTTATTATTAAAATTTATGAGCTACATGAGAAATGATTTTAATAGTACCCTTCTTGCTTGATTAAAATATTTTTCCTATCTATAGACAAAAGTACAACAGCCTTTGTGTTACATGTTTTTGGAAACATACCAGTATATAAATATTTTCATTTTAATTATCATGTATTTACATTTCATTGTTCTTATTTAAAGATATTATACTTGGTATGTTTGATGATGAGCATACTAAGTAATTATCTTATAAAGTAAGTTATTAAAAAAACAAATTTTAAGTTTTTAATTGTATAGTCTACTGGAATGTTGTCAAGTATTTCGGTTTAACAGATATAAGACCATGGTAAAGGAAAAAAAAATAATTTTTTTATTTTACATATAAGCAAGTTCATTGCTGCAAATATTGTATAGCATAACTATAGATTGGTTATCTTACTGTTTATAGGATGATTGATTTATTGTCTATATTATGACTGTCTCACCATAGTTACTTTTTAGGTGAAAAAAAAATTAAAGTATCTTTTTGCATTTTAGTGCTTCAAATAGAACCTCAAGATTTTGATATATGAGTTAAACAAATCTATCTAATTAGGTAACTGGTTACCATGGACGAAAAGTAGGACCACACCTATATTTGAACCATAATTTATTCTGTGATGGGAAACACGAAAAAGTGAATTCTAAAGCAGTGAACGAGAAGGAATATGTAAAACAAATTCACTGAAGTAATTCAGGAGATTGGATTATTAATCTTAAAAATAATGATCCATCAAAGTCAAAGTTAACTCTTCTGGTAAGAAAATACCTAGATTCAAGAAATTAATGACACCAGAATAAGAATATAGTCTAGGCAGTTTAAAAGAACAGTATTTCAGAAATCTTTAAACTCTCTTTTCTTTCTCTCTTCTCTCTCAAAAAATCCAACTTTTTGATACATGCATTTACATATCTTTGTTGCATATAAAATCTATTTACAAATTAAAAGACAAATTTCTGTGAAAAACCCTACTTAGATCTGTAAGATTATTGACTCTCTGGATCAAAATATTCTCTAAATTATAATTAAATACCATAGACCCAAGAAATCTATCAAACTGGATCAACAGATGTTTAAATATATATATATATATATATATATATATATATATATATATATATATATATATATATAATATATATATATATATGGGACCAAATTTGAAAAACTTCCTTTTTTTAAAGTGAATAGAAAAAAATTATTATTCAAACATAAATAAACAAAGTTAGGTTAGAATGGACGTGTAAGGTTGTCCGATATTGATTACTCAATTATCGCAAGGCCGAGATAATCAACAAAAAAAGAAGATTTTGTATTTGTTAAATTTTCTAGTAACTGTCTTGGGTGTGAATCTGTCTTTTTGGTTTACTGCTCCTGTATAAAAAACAGAGTATAGTTTAAACTGTTTTTTTTTTCGCATACTATTAGTTCACAAAGTAGCTTCATGGAGTCAAATATAACTGCCAATCCAGGGACGACGCTTAAGGGGAAGTGCGATCGTAAAAAATGGAAAAAATACATCCAGAAGCGACAAGGGTAAGTCTACTCATTAAACTCAATCATATACTTAACATTAGAATGCTGTAACACATTGTCAATAGATGGGTGGAAGTTTGATATGTTAGAACTTACTATATATGTTTATCCGACTTATGAATAGTTTTTAAGTGTTATGATAATATCTGATTTTAAAATATAAAGCTTGAAAGTTGGCTCTAAAAATTTGACCAGCTTAGTACCACTTGCTAAAGTTTTTCATAAAATTAAGAAATTCCTAATGAAAATTCTGACTATTAACTTGGATGCATAGACTATTCATTCAATGAACTAAAGTTTAATTAATTCCTCCTTGCGTATGTTCAAGCAGGTACTCAGCCAAACGTCTTCCTCTGTACCCCATCTGTCATTACTAAGTTGGATACCAGTGCCAGCTTTTAGCAATGCATGATGTCATGGAGTTCCACAAAGAATTTTACCCCATCCTAGAAAAAAGCGTTCATTTCGAAATACTATCCAGCTGACCCCCCTAACCTCAAAAGAAAGAAGTTTGAGCCTATAAAGGGGATAAACCACAATCTTCCAATATTTGGTAGTAAACCACGCTGGCCACAATCTCAACGTTTGCAAAGATGCTTTTATCAAGGTGTTGCAGCCTATTACTAAGCATAAAATTATAGGAGTGTTCCAAAAATTCAAGAACGGTATATCTCATGTCCCAGTGAAAACCTGAAAGGGAAAACAACAGGGAAGTTAAGTTTGCTCCGAAAAGAGAAGAAGTAAAAAAGTTCATCTATAGTTTTCAAGCTATTGAATCGTATTATTTACGACATCACATATTATTCCATCTAATATTGAATATCGCCAAAATGTGGAAAATGTTAAATTATAGTAAAGAAGAATCTGGGAAAGTTATTCAGGGATTTTTTAAGAAAATATTTTTCTCATATTTCAACATTTAATTTTCTTACCCTAGCATTGATGCATCTAGTAATTGCCTTAAATTACAAAACTTTATCTAAGTGGAAAAATCGGAGGAAGTAAAAAGATGTCTTGAGTTACACAAAAAAAGGCAGAAGCCTTTTTCCAACACCTACCAGAAAAACTACAAGGATGTTTTATTGTTTGGCAAACCAAGAATCTTGGTTTGCCAAAACTAACTGGCCAAAGTACTATTCACGACAGTTTTACTGTTATAACTTTTCAGCAGTTAAAGGATTGTCAAATAAATCCCTGGATCCCAGTACTGTCTCAATTTATACCTACATGAAAGATAAAGAAAAAAAATCATCCAACGAGGTCGGTTCCAGTGTATTCAATGAGTTGAGATCAGCTGATCTCTCAGGATATTACTTCATTTGTTTGCGCTTAACAAAATAAGAATATAAATATTTTAACTATGTGCTGCAAGTTTCTGAATAGCTAT